GCCAGTCGAGAATGATGCAAAAACATGCTCCTATCTTCACATGCACCGCAAAGTTGAAAGGTTTGGTAAAAGCGAATTCGCACTTGCGACTTGCGACATAGTGCAAATACCTGACGCCGAAGCTATCCGTACTGCACAGACGCGCAAGAAACACAAACAACTATGTGCTTGCGGAAGCGGGCGTTCCCAATTAAACGGCGAACAAAGAGAAAGAGAACGGCGTTCTCAATCTTGAAAAGAAGATTGTTTCGGAGTGACAGGACATCTGAGGGCTCAGTTGACGTCACTTTGGAAGGTTGGGAGCGGGCACCTTGGCAGACGCGGTTTTGAGCCAAAGGGACTTGCGTTAAGAGCTGATACCTTCGGCAGCGGAGGCCTTCTACGGCCACTTTGGACGGTAAGAAGGCCAGTGGGAACAGCGGATGCAAGACCAGCCCAGATCACCCCATGGTGGTCAGCCAGTGAGTTTCCAGAGGGAAACCTGCGAGTGCAACAGCGACCGATTCAGAGGAGAGAGCTACCAGACAGCAGTCAAACCCTTACGTCGGCCCGCAGCACTGCCATGGACCCTCCCAATCAGGGTGTTGCGGACGAGACCGTGTAGAGGCCGTTTCGGCACGCTTACCTGATTTTTTTGGCTTTTATGTAACTTTATTAACAGCAACAAACAGACTCAACTCCTCCTACACTGGGAATTGTTCGGCTTTGTTCTAAGTTCTTGCATGCTCATTCTTAAGGGCTGGCAATCGAAAAGGGGTAAGAAAAGTGCGAAGAGTTTATTTTGTAAGCAGGTCAAGGGCGGGCAAGCCAAAGAAAGCTTACAACTATGTACGGCTCCAACTTGGTTAGATTAGAACTAGCAGCAGCCAGGCAGTGGCGAGCATGGGTTAGTTATAATTTGTGCACGTTAAAACAGGAGGCAAAGACCTTGTGGAGCTTGCTGTGTGTCCGCTTTGTGCTCAACGGATCCACTTAGAGTTTACCGCTGAGCCACGATTTCGTCTGCAGTCGCATTATTCGCGTTCCGGCAAGGAAGGAACACCTACAAGCCTTCTTTTGACGGCACATGATGTGTTCCTGGGTTGGACGCTATTATGCGTTTGCTTGGGAATGCTGCTGGTAGCGTGGCAAGCGCATACAGATTAGCCACAAAGAAGGCCGCATGTTTTTTGCTCCGATAATTTGGTTGGAATTCTTCCGCCGGCTGCTTGATCCCCAATCACGACATCAAGCGCGGTCGAATGTGAGAATGGTGTTGGAGCTACGTGTGCCCAGTTGCTGTGTTTCATCTCTGAGTAGAACTTTTTGATAAGACAAGTGTGGAAGCCAAGTCAATTCTGGTGTAAGACTGCCCTTGGACAGACAGATGGCCACGTATTGGCGCCTAGCTTGACGGCAGTGGGGTGTGAGTGCACGTTTGACGGTCTGCTTTGGAGTGCTGCTTTGAACTCAACTTCTGCTTCGAATGCCATGGCTAAGAACTGGAAGTTAAGCATGTACAAGGCGCTCAAAGTGGCACGGAAAGCCACATGTCTGCACAAGTTTCATCGTCACCTCTCTCTCTCTCTCTCTAACCTTCGTCACTGTCCATCTCTCTCTCTCTCTCTCTTTCTTTTAATTTCATGATTTCTTGACAAGCTTGGAAACGTTCCGGCAATTGGACCGAGCCACAAGCGGTTGTGCACGTAATCCACTGAAGTATAGAGTTTTCTTTGCTGCAGGCTAGAGTGAGGGTTTGACTGCTGTCTGGTAGTCTTTCCTCTCGGAATACTGCTCGCAGGCTTCTTCCTGGGAAGCTTGGAGGGCCCTGCTGACTGCGGCCCCAGTTTCTACTTGCGTGGTCAGACTGGACACAGTTGTGCGCCTAGGTGTTGGAAACTTTGGCCGGGCTTCAATAATAGAACCGCAAGTTGTGTCGGCTCGGAGCTGCACTGGCTGACCACCATGGGGGGCCCTGGGCTGGCTTGCGTTGTTCTTGCTCACAAGTCCCCACTGGCTGACCACCGTGGGGCGCGTTGGCCTTTGCCTCTCCTCTGGGAAAGTTGGCCAATTTGTACCTTCCCTTTTCGCTACTGTGTGCCTGGTACATGACGGTCGGTAACTCTGCTGTCCTTCTTCGATTTACAGCTTTCCGTGCTGACCTTTGTTGCACCAGTGGCTTCATGATTTTGATGATCTGGCAAACCCTCGCATTTTGCGACCCTCCCGCAGGCTCTTGCACTGCTCGATTACACCTGGATTTCTGCGACGACCTCGAGTACTGAGCGCGGGGGACACATAGACGTTTGGCGCTTTGGTTCTGGCGGTTGTGTGGTTGTGGTTTGTGGTGGTTGTGTGTGTGTGTGTGTGTGTGTGTGTGTGTGTGTGTGTGTGTGTGTGTGTGTGTGTGTGTGTGTGTGTGTGTGTGTGTGTGTGTGTGTGTGTGTGTGTGTGTGTGTGTGTGTGTGTGTGTGTGTGTGTGTGTGTGTGTGTGTGTGTGTGTGTGTGTGTGTTTGCTTTGGTTTTCGCACCTGCTCTGTTTCACCTCTAGTGTTGAGACCCACAAGAACGGCCTACTGCGCTGCTGATGTAGTAAAGAGGCGTCGGTTCAAAAAAAAAAGATCGAAACACTAGAGTACATCTGCTTCTTTTTGCCAGCCTTGCCCGATTGCACCTTCTGCATTGCAGCTGAGGAAGAGGCTATTCTTCAAAACTAGGGAAGCTCAATTTCAACCTTGCCGGGACAGAAGCAACGGGACTGAGGCACAGTGCCTCACCCACCTTCATCTTTGCCGAACCGTGTGAACGAGGGGCAGCGCCATCGAAGTCCACATGCTTCTCACCTCCATAAATCAAGACGATTTTCCGCCCGCTTGGAGAGAAGAAGAGTTCTCATCTCGCTGCCGTCCTTCTCATCAGACTTGGAGCCGGAGATCCACTTGCAAGCGTTGTGGCGTTCAATTGCTCTGATTGTCCTCTGCCTGTTGCATCGTGGATCGTTCCAAGCCAGACCCCTTCCACCCCTGCCACAGCTTTCCTGGTACTTCCTCCAGAGCTTGGCTGGCCACCGAGGCTGAGAAGACCTGCCGTGTGGCATCCAGGAAATTCCCGGAAGGTGCGTCTGGCTGGAACATGCAGTATTGACGCTGATCCAACGCATGCGATTCACGAAAGCATTGATGGCATGCGTTGCCTGCCAGGCAGGAAGGGGCTGTTGGAACAAGGAAAAAACCAGTCCGTAAGTGGGTTTTTTTGGCAGGCCCCAGAAACTGGACAGCACTTCGCGTGTATTGTTCGTCCATGTTTTTTGTCGCACGTGCGTGCTTTGAAGACGAATTCCGCGGGATTTTCTGAAATTCAGGAGGCCATGGCAAATAACTCCGTCAATCCGCTTGTTTCTGAGCGCCTGTGTGTTTATGGTTGAGTTGTTTTTTGGTATTGCCAACAGTTACAAGCCTGATGAGAACTCTATGAGGTGCCTCGCGCTCTGCTTTTCGTTTTGAAGCTTACAGTTGTGGTTTGGGGGGTCTAAAGTTTTTTGAGGGTTTAGAATTTACATCTTAGAATTGGAGCGGCTTTGGAACTTACAAGGTTTAGAACGACCCTTTGTGACTGTCAGTGCTTGCGATCCGATGGCAATTGCATTTTCAGATGCATTCTGCAAACATTGATGCTGGATGACTTCGACCTGCATTGCGGCCCGTGTCTTCAGGTGTATTGGATGAATTTGATGATTTTCCACAATGGTTCTTTGCAGATGCTTTTCAGACTGCATTGACTTCTGCAATTTTTGACCTGCTGGATTGTGTACAAAAGTTGATGACCTTGGTTACATTGCAAATTGGCGTTGCAAAAGTGAGCCCTCCATTCAAGTTCTGTAGTTTGTGCTTTGTTTTGTTCATTGCCGAAGTGGAAGCAAAATTTGGACGATTGACTGAAGTCTCGTCGAAGGGACCGTGTTAGAGTAGAGCATTGCTTCCAGGCCACCAGTTGGCCCTGTCACATTGCTTGTGACATTGACAGATGACGTTGTGTCACTTTTGACTTGATTGGCTCAAGGTGCCAACAATGGTTGGCCCAAGACTCATGAGAAAGTGATTGCTGAGTGAATGCCCTTGCTGTGAATCTGTGTATTGAATGATTGAGACCAACAGTTGACGTGTACTTTGATTGTGTATTCGCTTTTGTAAAATTTCATTAAGGGGGGGCTTAAACGGGGGCTTGGAGGCTGTCGACGAAGTGAGAATTTTGTTTGGCGGGCGTGACCTCGGGTGGTAACCTTCTCTAGGGAATAGGGTTTCTTTGGCGTCAGCCCTATTCCCTGAAAGGTTACCACCCGAGAGGTCACACCCGGCTTTTGTTTTTGTTTCTTGTGTTCCTGAAAATCAGAGAATCACCCAAATTCCACCATCCTTACGTTTCTTGTTTTTGTTTCTTGTGTTGATTATTCGAAAAGTAAAGAATAAGTAGAGAAGTGGAGATTAATCCAAATGCCACCCCCCTCGCTTGCAGCTTTTGTTTCTTGTGTTCAAACAGAGAAGTACGAGAATGGAGATTCGTCTGTAGTAGCAACTATCATAATCTGGTGTGATATTGTGTACCAGCTGATGCTCTGCAGCATTTCTTGTGAGTGGCGTCACAATCCCAACCCGGACGTTGGAGGTTCAAATTTTCCTATTTTTGCCTAGTTCTGTAGCCCTCTTCCTTGTGCAAGCCCCTCTCGTGCTTGTGAGCTCAAGATGCGGTGGAGGCGCGGGTCGGCGGAGGTTTCGCCCATGATGTCGTACTTCCAATTCAGCTTCCATGGAAGCATGCTGTGTTGGGGCCTGGTTGTGGCTGCAGGTCGTTGTATCGGAAATCAGACTTTTGTGGTTGTTACTGTTAGCGAGTAACAGCCCGACTGCAACGCTATATTCATTCCTGAGCTTGTTCTTTTCGTTATGCAGTCAACCCTTGTGGCCGTGTGGTTCAAGCTTCATGGTTCTGAGCTGGCCACTGTAGTGTACTAGATCCGCCTAGTCATGCTGCAACTGGTGTGTGCGCTTTTGCCCCTACTCGCTGCTGGCGCTGGAGGCGACTGGCTCTGGACGGTGCAGCGAGGAGGCTCCAGAGCAATCTCCTTGTTTTCTTGCTGGTCGCTTTGAGTTGCTTGGAACTTGGAACTTGTCAAGAAAGAGACCAGAGCAGCTTCGGACCCCAGCTGTCCGGCCAGGCAGCTCAAGCGACTTCGGGAGGGCTCTTCAGGCTGGGGGAGGGGCAGCGAGGTCGGGGGCGGCGGGTCGGGCAGCACCGTATAGCACCGTTGCAGAAAGTTCTGAGCTCGAGGTTTAACTGACAGTCGTTCCAGGTGACAAGGGGTTGATGGGGCTTCCTGAGGGCTGGTTCAACAAGCGTCTCCGCTGGATCCCCACTGCAGGTGGACCAGGACAACAACTTGGTGGTTGCGGGCGAGACCCGCTCCTCCCTGGATAACTACACGCTCGCTGGTTCGGACGACGCCTTCCTCATGAAATTTACAAGCAACGGCGCCTGGCTCTGGACAGTGCAACGAGGAGGCTCCAGAGCAGTTTTCATGCAAGCTTGGTCTGTGCTGCTTCATTTTGGAACTTGTCAAGAGAGAGAGAGAGAGAGCGAGAGAGACCAGAGCAGCTTTGGACCGCAGTCGTCCGACCAGGCAGCGGACGCGACCGTGTGAGGGCTCTTCAGGCTGGGGGAGGGGCAGCGAGCGGGGGCAGCGGTTTGTGCAGCGCCGTTCACAGCAAGTTTTGAGCTCGGGTTGTGACAACCGTTCCAAGCGGCAGGCATCTTTACAGGTTCCAGGTGGGTTTGAGACTTTTTTTCCTTTTCGCGATGCCTTTCGATGCTCCAGGCAAGGGGCGTTCATGGGGCTTCCTGAAAACTGGGTCAACAAGTGGCTCCGCTGGATCCCCACTGCAGGTGGACCAGGACAACAACTTGGTGGTTGCAGGCACGACTGACTCCTCCCTGGATAACTCTACGAACTCTGGTGGGACCGACGCCTTCCTCATGAAATTTACGAGCAACGGCACCTGGCTTTGGACAGTGCAGCGAGGAGGCTCCAGAGCAGTTTTCATGCAAGCTTGGTCTGAGCTGCTTGAGAGAGAGAGAGAGAGAGAGAGAGAGAGAGAGGAGAGAGGGAGAGAGGGAGAGAGGGAGAGAGGGAGAGAGGGAGAGAGGGAGAGAGGGAGAGAGGGAGAGGGAGAGAGGGAGAGAGGGAGAGAGGGAGAGAGGGAGAGGGGGAGAGAGGGAGAGAGGGAGAGAGGGAGAGAGACCAGAGCAGCTTTGGGCCCCAGTCGTCCGGCCAGGCAGTGACTGGGAAAATGTGTACACTCTTCAGGCCGGGGGCGGGACAGCAAGGTCGGGGGCAGCGGGTTGCGCAGCGCCACTCGCAGAAAGTTTTGAGCTCGAGTTGTGACAACTGTTCCAAGCGGCAGCCGTTTTTGCAGGTTCCAGGTGGGTTTGAGATTATTTTTCCTTTTCGCGATGCCTTTCGATGCTCCAGGCTAGGTGCCTTGACGGGGTTTCCTGAGAACTGGGTAGAGAAGTGGCCCCGCTGGATCCCCACTGCAGGTGGACCAGGACAACAACTTGGTGGTTGCGGGCGACACCGAATCCTCCCTGGATAACTATACGAACTCTGGTGGGACCGACGCCTTCCTCATGAAATTTGCGAGCAACGGCACCTGGCTCTGGACAGTGCAGCGAGGAGGCTCCAGAACAGTTTCTTGCAATCCTCGTCTGAGCTTGGAAAGCTTGGAACCTGTTGGTTTTGAATTGAGGTGAGTGGTTTGAGGTGAGGGTGTGACGGGGTATATAAGGGATGAAGCCTGGCAGAATGGGGCACGTCATCTAGTATCGGGCCTCAAACAGGTGGCTGGTCCCCGATCCCACAAAACTCGAACCCTCAAACATCAACTCACAATTCACAACCTTTCATCACCACTGCACTTCGCGTGCCCTTCATAGGCCTTGAGCCAAACTGCCGTGGGTTTGTGTCACCCGTAGCAGGGCCATGCACCTGCATCAGATCTCAAAAAGTGGTACACTTCACAGTTTGTGCACCTTCCACGAACAGAACCTGTCAAAAGAGACCCGCCGCCCAGCCAGGCAGTGACTGGGACAATGTGTATGCTTTTCAGGCCGGGGTGGGGCCGAGGTCGCGGGCAGCGCCGTTCACGGACAGTTCTTAGCTAGCTGGATGTGTCATTGACAAGCGTTTCGTTTCGGCAGGCGTCTTTGCAGGTTCCAGGTGGGTTTCAGAGTTTCGCGATGCCTTCCATGGGTCAAGAAGGGCTCCGCTGGATCCCACCGCAGGTGGACCAGGACAACAACTTGGTGATTGCAGGCGCGACTGAAGGCTCCCTGGATGGCTACACCAACGCTGGCGATTCCGACATCTTCCTCATGAAATTTACGAGCAACGGCACCTGGCTCTGGACAGTGCAACGAGGAGGCTCCAGGGCCGTTCTTTGCAAGTGTCGTCTGACCTGACCCCAGTCGTCCGGCCAGGCAGTGCCTACGAAGGGGTGGAGGATCTTCAGGCCGGGGGCGGGTCACAGAAAGTTCTGAGCTGGATGTGTAATTGACAACCGTTCCAAGCGGCAGGCATCTTTGCAGGTTTCAGGTGGGTTTGAGAGGTTTTTTTTTTCGCGATGCCTTCGATGCTGGCGTTGACGGGGCCGCTGGATCCCCACTGCAGGTGGACCAGGACAACAACTTGGTGGTTGCAGGTGAGGGTTACGCCTCCCTGGATGGCAACACGCATGCTGGTTCGGCCGATGTTTTCCTTATGAAATTTACGAGCAACGGCACCTGGCTCTGGACAGTGCAGCGAGGAGGCTCCAGAGCAGTTTTGATGCAAGTTTGGTCTGAGCTGCTTCATTATGGAACCTGAGAGAGAGAGAGAGAGAGAGAGAGAGAGAGAGAGAGAGAGAGGGTTCGTCCCTATGCCCCAAAGAAAGAGAGAGAGAGAGAGAGAGAGAGAGAGACAGAGAGAGAGAGAGAGAGAGAGAGAGAGAGAGGGAGAGAAGGAGAGACACCAGAGCAGCTTTGGACCCCAGTCGTCCGGCCAGGCAGTGGTTACGAAGCGACGAAGGCTCTTCAGGCTGGGGGCGGGGCAGCAAGGTCGGGGGCAGCGGGTTGCGCTGCGCCACTCACAGAAAGTTCTGAGCTGGATGTGTAATTGACAACCGTTCCAAGCGGCAGGCATCTTTGCAGGTTCCAGGTGGGTTTGAGAGGTTTTTTCTTTTCGCGATGCCTTCGATGCTGGCGTTGATGGGGCTTCGTGAGAACTGGGTCAAGAAGGGCCCCGCTGGATCCCCACTGCAGGTGGACCAGGACAACAACTTGGTGGTTGCAGGCTACACCCGCTCCTCCTTGGAGAACTACACCAACGCTGGCAGTGCCGACGCCTTCTTCATGACATTTACGAGCAACGGCGCCTGGCTCTGCACAGTGCAGCGAGGAGGCTCCAGGGCAGTTTTCTTGCAAGCTCCGTCTGAGCTGCTTCACTTTGCAGCCTTTCAAGAGAGACTGGTCCAGACTAGCTTCGGACCCGAGCCGTGCGGCCAGGCAGTGATTTCGATGACGTGAGCTCTCTTGAGGCCGGGGGCGGGGCAGCGAGGTCCGGGGCAGGGTGTTGCGCTGCGCCGTTTGCAGAAAGCCCCGAGCTTGGTGTGTCGACCGTTCCAAGCGGCAGGCGTCTTTGCAGGTTCCAGGTGGGTTTGAGAGGAGGCGGCTCGGCTCCATGCCCACAGCAGGTTGACCGGGACAACAACATGGTCGCTGCAGGCACGACCATGTCCTCCTTGGATAACTACACCAACGCTGGCGGGAACGACGTTTTCCTTATGAGCTTGGAGGCTTTGCTGCAGTACTTCCTGTGTAGGCGGTGTTCCACCTGCAGGGGGCTTCATGGCACCCCTCTGGAAGCTTGAGAAGATGAAGTTGAAAGCTAAACTGGTGTTCGCCCCAACCCCACCCTTCACCCGTCTGACCCTTCTGAAGCCAAGAAAGTCGGACTTGCGGGACTTGCAGCATGCTCCGAAGATGTCTCGGTAGCTTGTGTGACTTTTCTTTTTTTAGTTCTGGGTTCGGCTCGCCTTGCCAGTGAGTCTAACTTCTTCGGATTTCTTCGGCTTAAAAACTGCGCTCCCTCTCCGGCTCTGAATTGTCCTAAGCCCTTCCTGTTCCCCTAAACCCTAAACCCTAAACCTTAAACCCTAAACCCTAAACCCTAAACCCTAAACCCTAAACCCTAAACCCCAAACCCTTAACCCTAAACCCTAAACCGTGCTGGGGTTCTGTCTTTGCCTCTCCTATAGGTTCCTCTGCTTAGCTGGGCTTCACTTCGGTGGTCCCCTCCTCTGGCACTCCGGTGAGCCTGCCTCTTGAAAAAGCCTCAGTAAACAAGTTTTCGACTCCAAAAAACTGACCAAGAAAGAGTTAAGGAGAGCTGCTCCATCGAGACTTGGAACGCCGTGAGTGAGTTTTTTTGCCAGGGTTTCAGTGATCCTGTGTATGCGTGCTATGTAGAGATGCTACTGTATTTCTAGTGTACAATATAGCATACTATATCATATGCTTCATAGCATACTGCGTATGCTGTATGGAGTATCAGTATACATCCTCTAAGAACGGGTATTTGTGAGGGCCTGATGGTTTCTCTTAGGAGGCAGCTTTTTTTGAGGACTCTCATGGCAACAGCTTCAATGCAGAACTCTGTAGAAGGCAGGCCCACTGCAAGGAGACGGGGCTTAAATCACCAGTAATGGCTTTTATGGCATGGTGATTCTAGCTTAGATCTAGGATCCAGCAGTTAAATGTTGTGGTTTCTCTAAAAGAGTACACCTCTGAATCGGCGATCACCGAATGCCAATGGCTAATCGCCTGGATGTTTCTTTGCAGCCGTCCTACCACATCTGGCAAAGCAGGCTCAGACAACCACTGCAACTTCCATGACTTCAACCAGCCTTTGGCTCAGTCAAGTCTTCTAGGGTGTAGTCTTGGGTTTTGGATGTTGAGCCTGCTGGCTTAGGGTTTAGGGTTCATGAGCCAAGCGTGGTTCGCCCCAGTCCTATGAAGAACCAGAACCCCTAGAAACTGCTTCTTGAGAGTTCTCAAGCCGACAGCGTGCGGCACCAAACCAGACTACCAGCGGGAAATCCAGAGTCTTAGTACGGTACAAAAGTTGATCCATATCATAAGATGGCTAATGGTGACATTTCAAATAGTAGCACTGTGTCTTGTATCGTAGTTTGAATTTTCTGAAACCCTAAACCCTAAACCCTAAACCCTAAACCCTAAACCCTAAACCCTAAACCCTAAACCCTAAACCCTAAACCCTAAACCCTAAACCCTAAACCCTAAACGGGGTTCCTCCAAGTGCAGTTGCAGTGCAGTTCAGCGTTGAAGCATAAGAGGTTCCGCAGGGCTAGGGTTTAAAGGTTTAGGGTTTAGGGTTTAGGGTTTTATGGTTTTAAGCAATGGTAGTGGTAGTAGCAGTAGCAGCTCAAGTGCCCCCAGGGTCATGATCCACGGAACAGGCCCCACAGGTAGGAGAAGAGTTGTACTCAAGCTCTTTCAATGTATTGCAGCTCTCCATTGTTGAGTCAAACTTGTGTCGATTTGCCGGGGCTTTATCCATGGTCCAAGACTTGCAGAAACTTTATCGTAGTTTGGTATAGACTGTGATGGGCTCAATTATCAGTATCCTGGCGCATGCACACGGGTGCATCTGCATGTGCATGCTGGCTAGTGAGGTTTTGCCGTCAGCGTCCGGCAACAGATTCGTTTGATGTTGCGTGCCAGTATATACGTTCACAAGTATAATTTGGAGACAATGGCAGGTTGAAGTTGTGGCATAGCAATGCAGGAGGTATTTCGCAGATCCTTGTGCAGAGTTTCACACCTCACTGAGCAGGAAAGAAAAATACATGAAAAAAGAGGCAAACCACAGAAACTAAGAATGGTGAGTTTGGTGAGTTGCACACATTTTTGCACAGCCTGTTTTGTGTGCTTTTCCCCAACACAGTTTGCACACTTTAGAGCACACCTCTCGGCTAGAGTCAACTCTCTCCAACAGAACGCAACAACGGAAAGAGTCAACTAAGGGTTTAGTGTTTAGGGTTTAGGGTTTAGGGTTTTGGGTCATCTCAGAGCTCAGCTGGGCTTTCTCTTTGCTTTGAGTTTGAGAGTAGCGAGTCCTCAGCTCAAAACGCTCAAAAGCTCTTTTGAGGCACCGTTTTTGAGAGCCCCTTTTTGAGCCAATTCGCTTTCTTTGCATGTCCCCCCTCGCCTTTTGCTCCACAACAGCCCCAAAAGGGCTTCAAGAAACCCCAAGAGGCTCAGCTCAAGTTTGGGGGCATGACGCGATGCAATCATGAGCCAGGGGCAATCTAAGGGGAAAGGTATGCTACAGCTAAAGGTAACTCGCTCTCCGCCCCCCCCAGAAATGAGTTCTGTGTCACTGGAATGATGAGAAACCACAAGTGCAACTGCTACAGGCACATCCTCAACCACGACAGTCTCAAGTTCCACAGCAAGCAGCGCTTGGGCGGAAGCAGTTCTGGGTTTAGGGTCGTGCCGGCATGGTGCGAATCTGGTGTAACCTACAGTCATGATGGTCTGGGTGCCATTGTCCAGTTCGGAGTTTGATCGTGTCCACTTGTCAATATCTTCACGCATTCACACCTGGTGCATTTGCATGTGAATCGCCGGTAGATCCAGCTAGTGAGATCTTTGCCGGCACCATCCAGCAGCTACCTTAGATGGCTTTTCCTTGCATGCAAGTTGAAGCGCAAGCTGGACGACAGCTTGTATCGATTGCTATGTGAATGTTGCCTTCTTGTGGCATGTAAACAGCGGCGTGGATCCTTCACACCCCATCAAAGGTTCAGGGGTACGGGCCAAGGGACCGAGAGACCCAGCTAAAGTTATGGCATGATGCATTATGAGCACGAAAGCTCAAACTCTGAGGTTCGTCAAGTTTCCGACGCCCACTCGTATGCAATTGCATTCAGCTGGGGGCAGCTAGGGGTGAAGTTCTGCTAAAGTGCTAGGAGTAGTAGCTCGCCCTGCTCAAGAATCAGAATCCCTAGAAAGCCCTGCCCAAGGTCTCTCAAGATAGCAGTTCTGGGTGCCGACCCATATGTGAATAATCCAAAAACTCAGCTTCTAAAGCATAGTTAGTACATAGTAGAGTATAGCCACACCATTAAATGCTGTAGAGTGGCATTGCAAATGGCAGCACTGTTCTTTCGTGCCGTGGTTTCAGCACTTGCGTACCATGAGAAGCCACATGTACCACTGCCTCAGGCGCAACGTCAACTTCTACAGTCTCAAGTGCCACAACAAGCAGCAGCTAAGCAGCACTTGGGCAAGCAGTTCTAGGTTCAGGTTAGAAGGCTACACGCAGCTTGTAAGCTTGAGGGTTGGAATGTAAGGGCTTTTGGGGCTGCTTCTCAACGTTTAGGATGGCTCGAAGTTGAATGCAAATTGCAGTGGCAATTGAGTGGTTTTCTGGACTTTTCAAAGCAGTCCAAACGGATCTAAAGAATCTAAAGTGCCCAGAGGGCCACGGAATTGCGGTTAACAGGGATACTTTCCGATACATTGCGGGGAAAAGAGCCCCAAGAAGTTCTGGGGGCCTCTTATCTGTCTTGTCTCCGCTTGGAGTGAACGAGCCATGAACGTCCTGCCCCCGACTCAGCCCGGATCGCATGCTGCGTTGAACTTCTACTTGTGTTAACCCTACACCCTAAACCCTAAACCCTAAACCCTAAACCCCCAATTTATAAACTAAGGACTTTGGGGGCTTCATAAGGTTGTAAGCGCACTGAATGTACAAGACACAGGACGTGCGTAGCATATTCCGTCCGTGCGTCCACACCCGCACGATGGTGCTGTCAGTGCTTGGGAATGACCAGGCGGTCAGAGCATGCGTGCCAGAACGATGATTTCGTCAGCGTTTCCCAGGTAGCCATGCGCGCGAATGGCCAGAGCGTACATGACATACAGGCACAATGATTACGTTCGTGTTACCAACGCATGCGAATGGCCGACCGTCTCGGGGTGCTCACAAGGTGCAGATGTCAGACACCCCAAGAACAGGCCCAGAAAAAGCAAGGCCTGCGGTGCTGTCGATGTATGGGGCGCGCTTGGGGACAGTGATGTTTGGGGAAGGCAATCAGCGTATTGGCGTATCGACGCATTTTTTACAGCATCCTTACGGGAGGGGGCTTCATGAGGGGTAGGTACGTAAGGAACATTAGGGAAGCTTAGGGAGTCGTGTGGAGTATTAGGGAACCTTGGGTTACATCCCCCCCTTGAACCCCCCCCCCACGTAAGAACCCTATAATTTTGGGCGTAGCTGGGTGAGGGGCTGGCATGCCCCGGTTGCCAGTGACCTAGCAGGAGCGACCTTGGCAGCACGCATTTTGGGGGTGGGGTGGGCGATCGGCACATGAGCGTATCGCGTGTTGGCGTACATGCAGGTGCAACGTCAGCCTCCACAACCAGCGCTTGGGCAAGCAGCTCTGGGTTCGGGGTGTGTGTGCTTCAGGCTTGGCCTTTGGAGTCTTGGAGTGTCACAGGTTCAGTGAAGCAACCACAACCAGTGCTTGGGCAAACAGTTCTGGAATCATGGAGCGGGTTCAGAGTCCAAGGCTGAGTATTTGGATCATGGCATCCGCTACGCCCTTGGCAACGGCTAAGGGTTACGGGCCGAGGGGCCCAGATAAGGTTCTTTTAAGATATTTTCCTGTTGCAAGAGGTTTGGTAAAGCTTCGTGACGTTCACTCGCGGAAAATTGCCAGGGCCAGCTAGGGGGGACAAAAGTTGAAAAGGTAGTTCGCCCCAAACTGTCATTTTTGCAGTTACTGAGTTCGATGTCATTCGTGATTCGCATCAAATATGTATATCGGTGATATATGTATATATATATATATATACATATATCAAGCTATTCATACAAAGTGTGCCTCAATCCCGTGTTGCTTCAGGTTAGTAATGACCCAACTTTTGCGCAGCATTTGGTTGTCAGTTGTCGACCAGCGGGTTTCGTAGACGTCCGAGGTACACCGTCGCCGCTGGCGGCACCCTGGACCAAAGCTCATGTGTTAAGGGCAATAGGGTCGTTGAATTTGACACCTCCCCCCCCCCCTCCCCGCGCAAAAAAAAAAAACAAAAAACATTGAAACCGCAAGGTTCAAAACAAACAAAACTTAACACCTAAAACCCACGTGAACCCCCTCAGCCATGCGCAATGGTGAGAGTGGGCTGTCAACTGAAGCATCAGTAGCCGATGAAGGAACTCGCATCCCCTGAGCCCCCAGACTCTATTCCTGGAGCCCTCTGAACTGAGCCCTGAACTTGAACCCTCTCAAAGAACACCCCTTAAAATAGAGCCCCTCTGAACCCTGAACCCTAAAGTGCCAAAAGCCTGCCAACACCTCAAGGTTGTACTCGGCATCCTGGGTGCCCTCCTGGTCGGCTGCTGTTGCCTTGGAGTCTGCTTCGTGCTCTGCAGAAAGGCGCGCATGTCATCGCATGTCATAAGAACATTCGTGATTATGTTGAGGGTTTAGGCTATACACCATAAGGTGTAGTATACAGGACACCCAAGATAGTAGAGCATTCAGGTTCGTGAGTGTTCCTTTGCTTCATCTTCTTTTCTTTCAAGTTATCGTTCGACCTGCTGGTTCTCTACGAACAAATCCTTCGCCCGAGCCGTTTTGTTGTCGGTACTGAGTGAGCCCTATGTGGAGTTTTCCTGGCATTCTGCATTCTACGTCACTGGACATCCTTCGGTCCTTCGGGGTCCATGTTTGGGGTTAAGAGTTAAGAGGGCTTAGGGTTTTTAGGGTTTAGGGTTTAGGGTTTAGGGTTTAGGGTTTAGGGTTTAGGGTTTAGGGTTTAGGGTTCAGGGAATACACGACATTGCAAAGAGCATGCTATGTGTTGGCGCGACGCACAAGTTCCCTACCTCCCCCATCCCCCTGCAATGCACCCTAAACCCTAAACCCTAAACCCTAAACCCTAAACCCTAAACCCTAAACCCTAAACCCTAAACCCTAAACCCTAAACCCTAAACCCTAAACCCTGTCGGGCTATCGGGGGTCCTTCTGTCTCAGCCCTTCAACCTTGCAAGTCCTTGCGGGGGTAGTTTTGGGGCATCCTTGGGCTTAACAGACTTGTAAGACAAGGTTTAGGGTTTAGGGTTTAGGGTTTAGGGTTTAGGGCAAGACCCCGTTTTGTTGGTACCTTGGGAGGCAGAAAGGATCTGGGACCCTTCACGGCGGGGGAGCTTCAGTGATGAAGCGTAACACAAGGTTTGAAGAGCAAGGCCCCGTTTTTTTGGGTACCTTGGGAAGCACACTTTCTTCGCCCATTTGCACAGAAACGCCGTGCAGCCAGGGAGCCCAAGGAGGCGCGCGAACGGGGCTTTGAGAGAAGGTACTTTGCGGGCTTTTGGGGTGTTTGGAGGCTTTGCGGCTTTGCCCTTAGTTTCTCAGGATTTTCAGGCGTTTCATCGGGCCGTCCCAGGCTGGACAGGTTTCTAATAGTTTCCACCCATCGCAAGCAGCAGCGCCAAGGCCCCGACATAGCCTTAATTCCTATAGGGTTTTAGGGTTTTAGGCTTTAGGGTTTAGACCATCTCACTCTAGTCCTTCAGCGCGCAGCAGCTGCCCTCGATCCCTAGAACCCCTGCAAAGTGAAAGTGCCATACTGGGGAGCAGTAGGTGCGCCAGGCGATCTGCAGCTAGGAGCAGGCAGAAGGGTAAGAAACGGAAGAACTTGAAAGTAGCAGAGATGAAGCAGAAGAAGCTGCAAGCCTTGATGTCGTAGTCGTTGTGCCAGCACCTGTGTAATGAACAGCAGAAGTCACAGCCTTAAGTCCTGAGACAGTATGTGGGGGTTCCTGTGTAGTTACAGATGGAGCATCTAAATCTAAAGGACCCTAGCTTGGGATCCAGACATTCGCGATTAGCACATTACACCTTCCTGCCATCACCCTGCGCGGGACAAGCGCCCATCCCAACTTCCTGCAGGTCGTGGTGGTTGCCGAGCCCGCTGAGCCCACTGCCCCGGAAAATCACACGAAGGTTTCTGGGCAGATACAGATGTGTTCAGATTTACCCTAAACCCTTCACCCTAAACCCTAAACCCTAAACCCCAAACCCCAAACCCCAAACCCTAAACCCTAAACCCTGAACCTGCCCTCCTCCCATTGCGGTTTAGGGTTTAGGGTTTAGGGGGGTTTGGTGGGACCCACCCATCCCAACTTCCTGCAGGTCCTGGTGGAGGACGAGCCCGCTGAGCCTGAAAAAGATGAAGGCCCGGGGGGGGGGCAATCCCAGAAAAGATAAATCCGTAGCCTAGGGACCTAGGGGGCTCCATATGTCAGTTTTTCAGGGTGTTTGGGTTTGGTCGCTGCGCGGCACTGATCCAAATTGCTCACGCAGTTTTAGGGTTTGCTGATAGCCGGCAGGTTCAAGTTCCCTTCAAAAAAACGGCCTTGGAGAGCTCCAGGTCACGACAGAGCCATGCCCAAGGTGCAATGCAATGAGTTTAAGACCCGTGCAAAAGACAAGGTAGACTGTACATGTTCTGCAGCCGATCTTGCACAGAATACCTCGAGCCTTCAGCTGACATTGCACATCCTTGCTGTCGTCCTGCAGCTGTGCACATCACTGCGGTCAAGCCGCAACATCTTCAGGGTCTAGGGTTTAGGGTTTAGGGTTTAGGGTTTAGGAGGCATCCCATTCAACACTCCTCCTTAGCCCACAAAGGCCTGGTACAGCAGTCTCGGTGCCATACACAAATATATATATATATATATATATTCATTCATTCATTCATTCATTCATTCTTTCTTTCTTTCTTATTTATTTTCCTGTATTTATTCATCTGTATATATATATATATATGTTAAAACAAAATGAATAAATAAATAAATAAACCACCCCTGATTGTACGACATGCCAGCCCAATGCGCGATTGATTTTTGTAAATGCACCAAATCCTGCGACTGGTTTTGGATATGCCCGCTAAAATTGCGATTGATTGATAGAAATGCCCCGCCGCCAAGCCCAATAGCTGGTGCACAATCTATAACACATCGTACATCGTATAGGCAACAAACTCATAGTGCTAGATTTCAACGAACCTGATTCCTAAGGGCCTAGACACCTCCGCAGGTTTGCGCCAGGCAGCTGTCGACCCAGCCGCGCAGTTGTGCAAGGACAGGGATCTCACGCCCGCAAAGCCCAAAGATATAGACCATGTATACTATATATATATATACTACATATAATTCTAAACTACATGTACTATATGCTAACGCACACGATATATACCATGCACAAATAAATAATAAAAAAATATATATGTAAAATATCTTTCGTACATATAGAGATATATATATATATATATGTATATGCCGACCGGCCCAGCCACCAAGGGAAGGGCACAAACGGCCCGGGCCAACACCACAAGGAAGCCCCCAAAGCTCCCACTACCTACTACCCCCTTAAAACCCCTAAAAACCCCTAAACCCTAAACCCTAAACCCGAAACTCGAAGTGCACAGGCAATGCTTACAGCAGTGCTGGCACGATACCACAGTAAAAATATATATCTATATAGTAAATACTCTACATATATATATATATATGTGGTATATATACTAGCTATATATATATACTACATACTATATATATATATACATATATATATAGGCTATATACTACATATACTACTTATACTCTGTATTATATATACTATGTATACTATGTATATGCCAGGACATGGAAGCAGAATCTGCTGCCCACTTGCATCGATGTATGGGGTAGTTTGTTTTTGTGTTTGGGGTTCAGGGGTCAACTGACAATGCTAGGATATCTAGCATTTTTTGATACAGGGGGTCCAGGGCCACTTGCTTCTGCGCTGGACACATGTTGGTCGCACTAGAAAGTGAGCGCACCTGGGCTTTCCAATTTGTAGGTCCTGGATTGGCTACTGCAAGTGAATGAGAACAGCTCGGGTACTTCGCAACAAGAATGGGTAGTCAAGAGCAGTCTCATGAACAAAGACATATGCGACATATCTGTTGAACAAATGTGGTACCAAAGGAAAGGTGCCTGCGCAAACTTCTGTACAACCCGGTGTAGCATGCACGTATGCACTCAGTTTGTCTACAACTTCTCTTGTAGAAGCCGATTAGCTGCCTGCTGCGCCCAGATGGAACGTGTCGAGATCTGAGAGGCTGGACGTGCACGCAAGCAGGCTTATCGTAACGATAACGAGCAAATTTCCATCTCACCCTTGCGAAGAATGCAGGGTGACTCGTGGAAGGACATTTATCAATTTCGGACGCCATCAAGGAAGTTGTGCCCAAAAGTATACTGCGAGTAGCCTACAGCCTGTAGCCACAAAGCCCGGAACCCCGGCTTACGCAGATTGATTTTGAACACTTGGGCGCGCTGTGCTGTACTTTGTCCTGGACTCTTCCAGTTTATTTATTGCTCCTTTGGCCATCTCTGAGAGATGTGTCCTCAGGATGCTTCAAGACAAGAATGCGCAGCTGTGTGGACCAAGAAGTCTGCGGTCTGCTACAGCGACTGCGGCAGTTGCTATTCCTATACGGCTTCAACGACTTGTAGCCGCTACGACTGCCCAGATCCGTTCCAGGTTTTGAAACACGTGTTGCAAGCGGCAGGATGCCGCCGATGTTGACGGACCATGCTGAGCCAAAGGAGATATGCATGCCATGGTGTGTTCACGTACTGACCATGCGACATCAGATGACTTGGTATGTCGCAAGCTATTAGATCAGACGATTGTTCATAGGTGCACTGACTGTTCAGTGCCTTTGATTGAGGGGGTTTAAAGATGTATAAGACCGTATGTCTGTGAAGGTCTGGCGATGAGTCCGGGGGTGGTACACAAAAACAAGCTCTTTTCTGGAAGATTTAGGGATCCCCTCTTACAGGGATTCAAGAAATCCAATCTTGATTCTTCAAATCCAAATGGTTTAGGGGAGTTTTAGGGTATGGGGTTCAGACTAAGTGCATAAGGTTTCGGTAATTCATATGTGTCACTGCTACTGCTTCCTAGGATTTAAGGACCCCACTCTTTAAGGCTTCGGGAACAAGATTAAGGGAATAAGATTTAGGGACCACTCTTTAAGAGTTGTCGAAAAGGATGCCTTCGGTTTTTTTTTAAGGACCCTCCCGTTAGGATTGAAAGACCGCCGTGGGAATTAGGTGGCTTTGTTGGGTTTCTCGGTGCCTTTCTTGTCTTTGGCTGGCTTGGCTTGCCCCAACGTCAGTTGGAGAAAAGAAATAATTCTAAGATGGCTCATGAGCTCTTAACTCGAAGAGTCATGAAGAATCTTTCAGATGTCAGAGGCACAACCTTGCTCCTAGGTGACTCGCTTTGCCAATAAAATGTCAAGAATGTCCAGAATTGCTGGCGGGAGATTCTTTCGAGGTCTGTTCTTAAATTGAGTGAGCGTTAGGCTCTTTCGGAAGTGTCGCCGGCAGTGTTTGGCGTCTTGATTCCGTACATACATCAACATGGGGCTTGCAGATTTGGTGCTTAAAGACTTTGCAACGGCAGCGAAGAGATTAGTTTTTCAAGCGTTCATCCTACATGAAGCATCACTTGGATTGTGTGCGTGAGGATTTTGACTCTTTATAGCGTGTTTTCGTTGAGGAACTGTAAAGTTGAAGTTTTGAAATTCCAAAATTCATATTTCAGGCCTTTCCCTTTGATTTCCATGGTCAGGCTGTGTGTGCCGCCGTCCGATTGCGTCATGAACGTTCCTGCGCTTCAGGCCCAAGTCTCGTGCTGATCTTGGAGTTCATTGAAGTACAGTACCCGTTGCTCGGGATTTGTAAGCCCTAAACCCTAAACCCTAAACCCTAAACCCTAAACCCTAAACCCTAAACCCTAAACCTTAAACCCTAAACCCCCAAGTTGCAGTTAAGGCAGCTCCAGAAAGCCTAGGGAACTTCAAGTTTTTGGGAAGCCTTGGAAGGGGAACCTTACCCTAAACCCTAAACCCTAAACCCTAAACCCTAAACCCTAAACCCTAAACCCTAAACCCTAAACCCTAAACCCTAAACCCTAAACCCTAAACCCTAAACCCTAACCCTAAACCCTAAACCCTATATAGCGTCCCTTCCATATAAACCTTCGGGGCCCTGTCTAGCGCCGATATTGGCCATGGTGTAGACCCCAACAAACACCTCCCAAGGGTCCTTTATCAGGTCCCCTTCCTACACTCCAAGCCCTTAAGCCTTAAACCTTCGAGTCCCTTCTTGTATTCACTTGAATAGGTTTGCTTCTCTGGTTCCCCCATCGAATGAGTCAAAGCTGCCGTGCAGCTCATGGCCGGTACTGCTGGACCTCGCTTGGGGTATTGGCGACAAAGCTGCAGTTTCGAGAAATTTTTCTCACACCTTTGTTGGAATGTTGGATGAGGTTTGGGTTTCTGCGTCAGACCTGACTCCCTGTGGCCTAAACTGTTAAACCTATGAAAGCCTATGAAAAAGCGGCCTCAGGTAATCTTGGGCTTGGCCCGGGTGGCAGCTTCAATTGCTGCTTGCAAAGTGCGTAATGTTCCCGACGCAGTTTGCAGCGTGGCTCCCACCTTGGTTAAACGTTTAGCATGGCATCTTAGGGTTTAGGGTGTGGGGTTTAGGGTTTAGGTTTTTAGGTTTAGGGTTTTAGGGTCAGTATGAAGCTACAGCTTATGATAGGAGCCCCGCACAAGAACTTAATCTCGAACAAGCCTGCGATGGCACATTGCGCTCTCTTCGTGTTCTCTCCTTTTCTTCAACTATTTTGGCCAATGTTTTGAATGTTTTCACTGTGAGCTGGTATAAGAGGTAGGGTTTTGGGTTTGGAGTGGAACAACCCGAACCTGGATGTTTGGCGGTGTTTTGTTTTTCCAGTGTCTCATTGGAGCTAGGTCTGCCCAAGAACCGCGACCTGTGCATACCGACGGAGGATTTTCTGCCCCTTGGCCCCAAGTCAAAGGAAGCATGGCTTGAGGGTGTACATTACAGTTCTGGTTTGGGCCATTGAGATCGAAACCGATTGAATATTAAGCTTGTCAGCACTGACTCTGTATTTCTTAGGAGTCCAAGTGGGAGGTTCGTTCCACAGCTTAGGGTATAGAATTCGATGGACTTGACATAGTAAGTAGGGTTAAGAAGGTGGGTTGTGGGGATTAGAATCGGGTTTCTAGGGGGTACTAAGTAGACTTCCTAAGTCAACAAGGCTTCTACCCCCTGGTTCTGAGTAGGGACTGATCGAATGAGGGCCTTATATATATACCCTTGAAGGGATTATATAGGGCACTTGATTCTACTAAGAACCAGCCAGACAAAACCCTAAACCCTAAACCCTAAACCCTAAACCCTAAACCCTAAACCCTAAACCCTAAACCCTAAACCCTAAACCCTAAACCCTAAACCCTAAACCCTAAACCCTAAACCCTAAACCCTAAACCCCTAAACCCTTCCAAGTGCCCTTCTGATGCTTGAGGTTCTTCCGCACTCGGCTCTCACGGGTTGTGCTGCAGCGAGACTTACCATGGCTCCTAGGCCTTGGGATATGTTTATACTTTCCCTTGCTGAAAGTTTCAGCATCATCCTCAGGATGAACCCTAAACCCTAAACCCTAAACCCTAAACCCTAAACCCTAAACCCTAAACCCTAAACCCTAAACCCTAAACCCTAAACCCTAAACCCTAAACCCAAAACCCTAAACCCGAGGCTTGCGCCCAAGCTCGAGGAGGCGACGACGGAAGCCCTGGTGAACGTCGAGGTCTGAAGGTTGAATCCCCCCAAAGCCCCTGAAGCCCCAAGAGCCTAAGACTCAAAACCCAAAACCCCTAAACTCCTAAACCCCTAAACTCCTAAACTCCTAAACTCCTAAACTCCTAAACTCCTAAACTCCTAAACTCCTAAACTCCTAAACTCCTAAACTCCTAAACTCCTAAACTCCTAAACTCCTCAACTCCTCAACTCCCCTTCCAGTAGCCCAGGACTGGAAGAGCACTGGAGCTCTCCAGCGCCTGCGCCACTCCAACACCGACCTTACGGCAGCCCTTGCTCTGATCTGCGAGGGCCTCCTCGAGGTGCAAAGAGCGAAACCCGAAGCCCCTAGACCCCTGAGCCCCTAGACCCCTGAGCCCCTAAGCCCCTGAACTCCTTGAAGCCCCGAAACGCTGAGACCCCAAAAACCCTAAACTCTATCTCCTCTCCCCCGAACTTTGGTTTCGAGTCTAGGGTTTAGGGATGTTCAGTGTTCAGGTTTCGACAAAACGAGTCGAGTATGTTTACGGCTTGAGGTTTCGGGTTTAAGGTTTCGGTTCAGGGTTGAGGGTTTAGGGTTGAGGGTTTAGGGTTTAGGGTTTAGGGTTTAGGGTCTAGGGAGAGATGTGCCCCTGAACAGGCGGAGAGGCATGCGCTTCGGCTCATTGCCGGTGTGCCCGCTCATCAGAGTGGGGTCTTGCGCTTGGCGGTGCTGCTGCTACAAGAGGTCGGGGGGGGGGGGGGGTGGGGGTCCCAACCGTCGAACCCTCATACCCTACTATACCCTGAACCCGCTAAACCCTAAAACCTAATTGACCCCTAAAACCCCATTGAGCCCAAACACCCGAAATCCCTACCTACCCAAAGCCCTGAGCTCATGCGTTCTGCTTTTTGCCTTTTGCTGTGCTAGCGGTTGGTTTCCGCGGCAGGTTTAGTTCGTTGGACTTTGCTTGGATCATGGGGTTTCGCAAAAAGCGGCCCCGTAACACGGCGATGCCTCAATGTACATCCTTCTCTGAACCTTCTACATTATCAAGAGCAGCGCATGCTCTTCTTGAAGAAAGCTCGCCACCTTAAGCCCGAATCCTCGTCCTCATCAGTGTCGTCGTTGCCTTTGTCGTGCTGGTGGCCATCGGTGCCGTCTTGGTAAGTTTTCAAAGTAGTTCCTGAGCCCTCAATCCCAAACCCCTAAACCCTAAACCCCAGACCCTAAACCCTAAACCCTAAACCCCAAACCCCAAACCCTAAACCCCAAACCACCATCAGGTTTTGGCAGGACCCTGGTCTAGGGTTGCCCTCTCCGGCTGGCCCGTTTTCGCCTTGTGCCTTGCCCAAGACATTCGCAAGGATCGCAACGATCCCCTTCTGCCGACTCATTTGAGCATAAACCTTGAACCCTAATCCTCAAACAATTAAAAGTCAATTAAACAACCCAAAACCTCATCCCTGAACGACCCAATCCCCAAACAACCCTAAGCCCTTTTTGTACTGCATTTGCTGATGGACACGTGGGCTCTATTTGGATCTTTTCTGGCAAACGCATGCACCAAGGCTCAGGGTTTGGGGTCCAGGGTCAGGGATGTAGGGGTTGAGGTTTTGGGCTTTCGGGCTTGGGGGCTGCCCATCTCCCAGCAAAGGCTGGCGCGCATAGCGCGGGGCTTGGTCCTTGGCTTCGGGAGCAGCGCCCGACAACGCCGCTCCTGCGCGGAGAGCGATTGGAAGCTCGTTCTGCAAGCCGCATGGAAGAGACTATGATTTTGAGGATTGGGGCCCTCGGAATGTTGAGGTGGGACAGCAGGTACAGCATGACGGTTGCAAAGTCTCAGGGTATGATGCTGTGGCCCACTGCAAGGCAGCGAACCTCACGGGCGTGAGCATGCCCCCTGACAACTACACCCTCTTCGAGCTGGCAGACTTCAAGCGGTTTCATACTTCATACTTGCAATGGGACTCCAGTTGCCTCTGGGAGGCCGCGGACCTCCTCTCCGTTCCCACCGCGCCCATCTGCGTCACGGTGCCCCGGGGTGCGTCCCAGCCTTCCACGTCCGCGGCCAGGGACTGCAACGTGTATTGGCCCGGCTGCGAGGCTCCGGAACCTTCTGCCCAAAGATCGCTGCAGTATCGCCTTTATCTGCCCCAGCGCCGGGAGCTCGCCGCGGACGCCATCCGCGAGGAGCAGCGGCCCTACTGCGCCCTGAACCACCGGGGCTGGGTGGTGTCCGAGGCCGAGCACCTCTTCGCCAAGCTGGCGGAAGAGCATCGGGCGGGCGCCCCGAAGCGCCCACTGCAGCTGGTGCTGGTTTTTGGGCCAACAAGCCGCCCCTCCCTGACCCCCCCCCAAAGCACATTTTGAAGGCGCTGTCGTCTTCGCCTTATGCAAGGGTGTGTGCATCCTTACTTCAAGCTACAGACATGAACCACCAAGCAGCCTAAACCCTCAACAATCCTAAACCCTATACCTAAACCCCATACCCCAAGCCCTAAACCCTAAACCCTCTAAACCCTAAACCCTAAACCCTAAACCCTAAACCCTAAACCCTAAACCCTATAGAAACCCTAAAGGTGGAGGTGGGCAGTAACTTTGGCGACTGCGCCTTCGCTGTCAACGCCGTGGCCCGTCAGGTGGCAGGGGTGTTGGGTTTTAGGGCTAGGGGTTTCGGATTAGGGTGTGCGGGGTTTAGGGTTTAGGGTTTTGGAGTGTAGGGTTTAGGGTTTAGAGTTACAGGGTTCAAACTTTCGGGCTTCGGGTTGAAGGTTCAGGGTTCACGGGTTTCCAAACGCGGCTTGCCCCTGAGAAGGTGGCGTGGCCGCTCCGGGCCACTTGCTTCGAGCCCGGCGAAGAGGCTGCCAAGGCCGGCCAGGGGATCCGGACGCAGGGTTTGGGGTTCGTTGAGGGCTTTCTTTTGTATAGTCCCCTATATACCTAAGTAGCCCCTAAATAACCCCAAACAACCCCTAAGGTCCCTTATAAGGGTCCCTCCCTGCGTCCCTGTTCTGAAGTATGGGCCCTTGGGTTGTACCGGGTATAAGGAGGTATTTCAAGGGATCCCCTTCTAAGGGCCCTTACTGAGGGACCATGTACCTACCCTGAGACTTGAGCGTTTTGGAGGTTTAGGGCGTAGGATTCTGTAGGCGAGGAGGGTGCTCCTGAAGCGTCCTTCCACTGCTTTCTAAGGGGTCCGTAAGCCCTATGCTCTGAACCTTGAACCTGACACCCTGAAACCATACATCCTGAACCTGAAACCCCGCACCCTCAGCCCTAACCCCCGAAAGCCCCAAAGGTCGAAACCCCCGTAGGGTCCAATCGAATCCCTTGAGGTGTTTCGGAAGTCGCTGCGCCTGACCTTTCGCTGCAATGCAGGGGGGTTTCAGTTTAAGGCGTTTGGCTTAGCAGGACCGAGGGATTCGGGTTTTGGGTGGGGGGGTAGAGGGCTTGGTTTCCAGTCCACTCAAACCGCCTTTCTCAGCCTGAGGGTTTAAGGTTTGGGCTTCAACGTCGGCCATAGCCAGGGTTCTCTTAGGGCCCTGTCGACTAAAGCCTGAACCCAACTCTAAGCCCGGAATCCAAACCCAGAATGGCCAGGAGAAGTCTTTTTGCTGGCTAGGCGATAGGGAGCTTTCTTGAGTTGTAAGTAACTAGTATCGACCACCCTATCTGGACCTAAACCCTAAACCCCAAACTCAAAGGATAGGGCCCAAACAACCACAAGTATAGGTTTAGCTTATTGAAGGTTTGGATCCAATGACGCAACTCTTCTAAACAGTATGAAGATCGGATGGCAGGGGTGAACCAAGAACGATGACCCCAAGCCCTAAACCCTAAACCCTAAACCCTAAACCCTAAACCCTAAACCCTAAACCCTAAACCCTAAACCCTAAACCCACCATCTGAAGTCCAGGATGCAACCCTGGAATCCAAGACCCTAACGTCCATGAACCTGACTAGGAGGTCCCTTTGTGCATCCTGCATGGGTCATGCCCCGATTGATATCATGCAGGTATCGACCCTGCTGATGAACCTCCAAACACAAAGGGCTTATGGTTCAAGGTTTGAGAGCCTAAGCCCTAAACCCTGAACTCTTGTTAAACCCCAGACCCTGAACCTTAGACCCGAAGCCACCAGTAAAGCCCAAAACGTAAACCCTAAACCCTAAACCCCTAAGCCCTGAACCCTAAACCCTAAACCCCTACACCCAAAACCCTAAACCCCCAAAAAGAGCAGGAACCTTGGCGCCCGGGCCGCCATCACTGTGCGCGAGGAGGCCGTGATGCCCGGGGACGAGAAGACGGTCGAGTTTGTTGTGCCTGGGTGAATCCCTCGACCTTATCTACAACCTAAACCCTAAACCTTACATCCTAAAGTTCCCAAACCCTAAACCCTAAACCCTGAACGCTAAACGCTAGACCCTAGACCCCAGACCCTAGACCCTAAACCCTAAATCCTAAACCCTAAACCCTGAATGAGGTTCCAGACTCCAGTGGTGTACACGGGTTCGTGACTGGTGCGCCGGTGGAGGTGTACACGAAGCGAACAGGTGCCACAGAGGGCTCAGGTCTGCAGGGTTTTTGGGGTTCTGAGGTTTGGGGTTTAGGGTTTAGGGTTTCGGGTTTAGGGTTGGGGTGCAGGGTTTTGGGGTCCTGGGTTTGGGGGTGTAGGGTTTGAGGCTCTGGGGTTCTGGACTTTAGGGTCTGGTATGTTGGGGTTAGGTTCAGGTTGTGGGGGTTTTGGGGTCAGGGTTCAGGGTTCAGGGTTCTCAGGGTTTACGGTTTTGGGGCCGCGAGTTTTTTTTGGCTTTAAGGGGTTTAGGGCTTTTGGGTTCAAGGTTTTTTTTGGGTTTTCAGGGCTTGAGGATAATTCCAGAGTTCGGGGGGGGGCTCAGGGCTGCGGAGCTGGATGGTTCACGGGCTGTTTTGGGGGATTTGGGGGGCTTTACAGCCCTCAGACCCCAAAACCCAAAACCCTAGACCCTGCCGAGTCCCCGAAATCCTCAAACCCCAAAACTTAAAAAACTTAAAAGCCACCTGACCCAGAAGACTTGAACTCTTAAAAGAAGGAGCCTGCAGTCCCCAAGTTCTCAAGTGCTTGGGGTTCAAGGAGCAACTCTCAGTTTAGGGTTGAGGGCTTACGGGTTAGGGTTTTTTGGGTTTGGGTGCTTGACCTGGGAGCCTGGCCAGATGTCGCCAAAACACTGTACACGAAACAGTACGAAAACCAGCAGGTAAATCTTTAGTCCCCTGAAAACTCAAAAGCCCTCAGCCCCTCAAACCCCAAAGCCTCAGTTTCAAACTCCTAGAAACCTTAAGCCCTAAACCCTAAGGCTTAACCCTGTAACCCTAAACCCTAAACCCTAAACCCTAAACCCTAAACCCTAAACCCTAAACCCTAAACCTTTAAGTAAGCCGAGTGTGGGACATGTGTGCAGGCATGACGCCGCGGAAGAGTGCCTTGCCCACATGGGATTCGCGAGTAGGGTTTACGCTTCAGGCCTTTAGGGTGTAGAGTTTAGAGATTCCGACATTCCCAAACCTTAAACCCTAAACCCTAAACCCTAAACCCTAAACCTTAAACCCTAAACCTTAAATATGCTTGCTCTTAGCAAGCTTTGAGGCGAGGGAGTGGAATCGTGATTTTCAGGATTTTCGGACCAAATGCCCCACACCACTTCCGGATCGTAGTCGGGCTTGGGACTTCTTTAGGGGCCAAAGCCCAAACCCCAAACCCTAAAACGCCAAAACCCGCAACCCCAAACCCGATTTCGGATCCCGGCTCTTAGGGTCTTGGGACTTAGGGCTTAGTAGCGTGTGTCTCGTGCGAAAGGAGTTTGGCGCATGGACACCATAAACCCTGAACCCTTCAAACCTTAAACCCTAAACTCTAAACCCTAAACCCTAAACCTCAACCCTAAACCCTAAACTTTAAGCCCGACACCCTGAGCCCTTAACCTTGAGCCCTACACCACGCGCCACCCAAGCTGAAAAAGGCACCGTGCGCACCAGCCGGCTTGACCGGGACTTCGGCGGAGTGGCTTGGCCTTGGTTTCCATTCCCCGCATGTTCGGGTCTCGGGTTGACGGGGGCCATGAGGTTTAGGGTTTGGGCAGGGATTAGGCTTACCCTAAACCCTAAACCCTAAACCCTAAACCCTAAACCCTAAACCCTAAACCCTAAACCCTAAACCGACTAGGGCTTAGGGTTTATAGGGTTTGGAGCTTCGGGTCAGGCTCGAGCACTGAGCTGTCCCACAGCCCCGTGGGAGCGCCTAAGCGCGGAGGCTTCTTTTGTTTTGCGAGTATGTTTTACAGGTTTCATGGTGATCCTAAACCCTAAACCCTAAACCCTATAAACCCTAAGCCCTAAACCCTAAACCCTAAACCTCTACCCAGTGTCAAGTAGGGGGTGTTGAGGGTAGTCCACAGCTGTATTTTGTTGCCGAAGTTTTCATGTTCATAGGTTTTCCACGTCGCTGCGCCTTCTCTACTTTACTTCTGGTAGGTACCCCTCTCGTTGCGCCAACACTTACCTTAGCTATGGAACCCTCCACGTTGCCGACAGATGGCCCGTCCGCGACCGAAACTGCAGTCATTTTCAATGGACCGGGTTAGGGTATGTAGGGGCATTTGGGGCATGTGGGTAAACCCGACACCCTAAACCCTAAACCTTAAACTTTCCCTCAACCCTCAACCCTCAACCCTCAACCCTCAACCCTCAACCCTCAACCCTCAACCCTCAACCCTCAACCCTCAACCCTCAACCCTATATCCTAAACCCTAAACCCTAAAGCCTAAACCCTAAACCCTAAAGACCGGGTGTTCTTGGGATTCCGGAGGCCGCGGTCGTGGACTTGTTGCTCATTGGGCTCGTCGATGGCGCAGCTCGGCGGATAACCGCTCTGAGCCCCAAAACCTTAAACCCTAAACCCTAAACCCGAAACCATAAACCTTTAAACCCTAAACCCTAAACCCTAAACCCTAAACCCTAAACCCTAAACCCTAAACCCTAAACCCTAAACCCTAAACCCTAAACCCTAAACCCTAAACCCCACACCCTAAACCCTGAAGCCAAAGCATTGAACCCACATGAAGCCCTGACCCTCTACATTTTACATGGAAGGTTCAAGAAAGTCCTGAACGCCAGCCAACTGATTTGGGTTAAGCACGCTGCAAGGACACTGGGCCTCTAACCCTAAACCCTAAACCCTAAACCCTAAACCCTTAACTCTAAACCCTAAACCCTAAACCCTAAACCCTAAGTTTCCTGAACCCCGGGGTCTGGCTCTTCGAACCTTTAAAGCCCTGAACTGAGGAGATGGACGTTTTTCAGGGCGCGGAGCGGCTGCTAAGTGAAATGCGGGCCAAGAGCATCGTCACTTTCAGTGTTAATGAAACGCGTTTGCGGCAGCACTTCGCTGCCACTTGGCCCTGGCATGAAACCATGAAGTGCCCAAAGCACCCCAGGCAGACATATATGGTCAAATTCTCTAAAAAAGTCACCCCTTCTCGGGTGCCCTAAATAAGAGGGGCCGCTTTGTAATCAGGACCCCCCCAAAGGCACCATACTTTAGAGAAGTGACCATACGGCGCACTTGAACCCTTTTCTGAAACCCTAAACCCTAAACCCTAAACCCTAAACCCTAAACCCTAAACCCTAAACCCTAAACCCTACAAAACCCTGCTGAGCCCTGAACCCTAACCCCCTCAACCTTCAACCCTCAAGCCGAAGCCCTGAACCCCAAGCCCTAAACCTTAGATTGTGTCCCTCGGTTGCCGGGTTTAGGGTTTAGGGTTTAGGGTTTAGGGTTTAGGGGTTTCGGGTTTCGGGTTTAGGGTTTAGGGGTGCTGAGGCCTTGAACTACAGCTTCGTCAAGGCGTTCCGAATGGGTGTGGAGAGCCTGCATCTACTCCGGGCTGACGCAAGCCTCGGCTAATGCCCCACGGGATATGTTTTCTTTTTTTGAGATAGGGGGTTTAGGGTTTAGGGTTTAGGGTTTAGGGTTTAGGGTTTAGGGTTTACCCTTGTGTGCCCGGAATGTCGCTTCAGGGGTTGATACGAATTTTCATCAGCTTTGGTAGGAGCACAGCCGTTTTTTGGGGCCGTGTTTCGCTTTGCCTTGGACCAGTTAAGTCGGGAGGTAGTCTAGGATCCCATGATCTACGCCCTAAACCCTAAACCCCCTAAACCTAAACCCTAAGCCCTAAACCCTAAACCCTAAGCCCTAAACCCTAAACCAATGCATGGGATCTTATTGAGGATTTTCTCGCTGATTTTTTTTTTTTTTTGTGTGTGTGTGTGTTGTGCCTCAAGGGAACAAAGGGTGTCAGGGTTTCAGGGGTTTAGGAGGTCCCAGGCGGGGCGGCAGCGCAGCATCTGGGCGCCAAAGGGATGGATGCCCAAAGCCCGGCAGCCCTGTGCCCAGGCGCTTCGAAGGAGCTAGAGCCGACTCTGCCAAAACTTTGCCGCATCAGAGGTTAAAGCCGAAACCTGGTTTAGGGTTTAGGGTTTAGGGTTTAGGGTTTGGGGTTTAGGGTTCCTCAAATTCTGAGCCCAAAACCCGAAGCCCTCTAACGCCCTAAACCATCTAAAGCCTAAAACCCGAAAGCCCTTAACCCACAAGAGGACTACTCCGCTTCCAGACGCCCACTGCTTGGAGGTTTTGGGCCCTTATAACCCCAATTATGACTGTACTTACAAACCCCCTGAGTCCCCTAAGTAGTTTATAAGTAGACTTATAATTGGAGTTATAAGTACCCATGAACCTTGAAGCACGAGGCCACGGAGAGGCTTCCTCAAGGCCCCCTTGGGGCTTCCTATGATGGAGTCTCCCTCAGATTTAGGGTAGGGTTTGGGGTTTGGACTTTAGGGTTTAGGGTTTAGGGTTTAGGGTTTGGGGTCTAAGCTTTAGCGTTTAGGGTTTGGGGTTTAGGATTGAGGGTTTAACGCGTAAGTCGACAACGGGGTCTTCGACCTAGACCCGACTTGGAGTTCCATTTTGAGGTTTAGGGTTTAGGGTTTAGGGTTTAGGGTTTAGGGTTTAGGGTTTAGGGTTGTGGTTGCAGGTGGGACGTATCAGCGCCTTACAACGAAGGTTGTGGTCAGCTGCCGTTCCTGTTGCCCCAGGCAGAACTCATTGACTTGAATCGCCAAGCCCTAAACCCTAAACCCGAAGCCCGAAACCCGAAACCCCAAACCCCAAACCCCAAACCCCAAACCCCAAACCCCAAACCCCAACCCCAAACCCCAAACCCCCCAAAACGTGCCCTCATGTCGCCGTCGCCAGGGCGCTCAAGACAGCCCTAGTAGAATCCGAAGCCAATCTTGGAGGATCGGGGTACTTAGTAAGTCGGGATATAAGTACCTTAATTGGGGTTTATAAGCAAGTATAATCATAGCTACCTTAATTTGTAACAAGTAGGGATATAAGTACCTTGATTGGGGGTCATAAGTCAGTATAAGTACAGCTACCTTACTTCTAACCCCCGACTTACTAAGTCCCCTGATCCTTGAAGCCCTAAACCCTAACCCTAAACCCTAAACCCTAAACCCTAAACCCTAAACCCTAAACCCTAAACCCTAAACCCTAAACCCTAAACCCTAAACCCTAACCTAAACCCTAAACCCTAAACCCTAAACCCTAAACCCTAAACCCTAAACCCTAAAACCTAAACCCTAAACCCTAAACCCTAAACCCTAAACCCTAAACCCTAAACCCTAAACCCTAAACCCTAAACCCTAAACCCTAAACCCTAAACCCTAAACCCTAAACCCTAAACCCTAAACCCTAAACCCTAAACCCTACCCCTAAACCCTACACCCCAAACCCTAAACCCTAAAATTATTGCAAGATAACCCCCGACTTACCAGGTCCTCCTGATCCTTTAAGAAGGTGTTGGCAGTCTCAGCAGCCATGGCCCAAAGCATACGGCCTGTGGCACCATGCCGGCTGCTGCACATGTAGAGACTTAGGTGGTAAAAAAGAGTTTAGGGTTTAGGGCTTAGGGTAGAGTCAGAAGCCCTTTCACTTCTTTTTTTTTGTTAGCACTGGACTCCCTATCTCGTCACAAAGGTTTAGGTTTAGTTCCCCCCAAAACATGCTGGACAGCTAAGGAGGTGGTAGGGGCCTGGGGCCCTGTGATGTGAGCCGCGTCCTCAGCCGGCGCCTCCGCGTGTGGAGGCTGGACCTGGAGATCCCGGACGTGGGCCTCGCCGTCGACGTGGACGAGGTGCTTCGGCGGCTGCGTCCCTCATTCTTCGCGCCGCCGCTCATGCGCTGAAGAGGATCCAGGGACTTGGCCCCTCCCTTGCGAAGCGTTGCATGGCGGGTCTCTGCCAGAGGGGTGTACTTGGATACTCATGAGAAGGCCCTTGCGCGCACATCTCGCCTGCAAGGCCGAGCGGGGTAGTACAGTGACTACAGGCCAAGCATAAGCGAAATATTGAACCATCGGGAGCCATCCGTTCTTGTGGGCTGTCTGGACTTTCAATCGGACTCAAGCCTAGCCCATCCCTTCGGTGCTTCGAAGCTCGCAGGTCGTTGCACTTTTTTGTTTCCTTCGCGTCCCCTTGGATTCCTCCTTGTGAGGTCATCCTTGGACACTCTGCCTTTTGCTTCCTCTTGCAGGGGGTAGGCCAATCCCTTTTTGACCCTTCTCAGCATCCTTGAGTGCCACTTCAAAGGCTAAGCATCAGGGAATCGTAGGGAAGGTGCCACCTGAAGATCGGAGGTGGCTTTTCAAGATCTCCTGGGCGTAGCTCCGCCGCTCATGTCCGCTTGAAAGCAGCGGCGCGCGCTTCGTCCGTGCCCTTGCGCACCTGTTCCTTGCTGGCGGTTCGTTTCGTTCTGAGCAAGCCGGCACTTGCGAGTCGGCGCCTGTGCTCGGATTCGAGCTTGCTCGGCACAAGATTCTGTGACTTCGGACTCCCTTGACACAGGTCTTCACCAGGTGCTATGGCAACTCAATGAGAATCGGTGGGTATCTGAACCCTGACTTGCAGCAACAAGCACGCCACTCTGGCTGCTTTCCACAAGCAACCCTCCCAGTCGTAAAAGCAGTGGTGTTTGCAGTCTCTGCTCCTCAAAGTCTGCTTTTGCTTGGAGCAGCAGGCTCTTGTACTTCCTGCCTGGGCGCATGGCGCATGAGTCTCGCAGCCAACCCATCCCTCCTCCCAGGCTGCAGCGAACTTGGCAAGTAGGTCCTGTGCCTTCTCTTCCCCTGTAGGTATTCTTGGAGTGATGTAGAAACTCAACTGCCCTAAGGGGCAATGTTGAAGGCGCAGCCAAACTATCTTGCGATGGGGCCACTCGTGGCAGCCCTCTAGTCCTCTAGGTCTCCAGAGCCGGTCAAGTCTGAACCCTCGGCCTTTCGACGCACCTGCCGAGGACTCAAGCTTGCTCCACCAAAGCCCGGAAAGGCCGCCAAACCACAAAGCCGCGGGATGCTTCTTGGGATTGCAGGGAGTAGCTTTGAAGAGACCGGGGCTCTTGAAGAAGCTTTGGCTTTATGCCGAAAGAGGGGGGGGTACCACCTTTTCGGAAGTTAGTTGTTGGCCAGTGTGGTTTGCTGCCTCTGTCCGCGCGGTAAGAAGTGCTTTCGGCATTTTCCAAGCCCCCACGGGGCATCTGGCTCTTTGGTCGGTGCCTCGTCTTGCTGGGATTCCGTGCATGGTGGTTTAGGATGTCAGTAGGGCTTTGGGGTGTTCGGGTGCAGGCTTGCGTGGCTTGGAGGGTGTGCGCGCGCCTGCCATGCTTTGCAGAGCCCTACCTGCAGCCCCTTCGACCCCTGCTCGCCACCAGCTCACCAAAATACCCATCTGCAGGAGCGCTTGCCCCGACTTAGCCGCACGTGGCACGGCTGCTGCAGAGGTGCTGTTCTTTGGTGACAGCGACTCTACACTGACCACCCCGACATGAGGACCACCTCATTCTCAAGCCTCGGGAGAGACCCAATCCGGCCAAGTCCCTTGTTGCGCTTGGGAGACTGGGGGTCTCTGGGTCGTCGGTTGATTGGCACCCGATAGCGGGTTGCCAGCCCTGAAACACATCTTGCTCGGTTTCTCTCCTGGTGCTGGTCGGTCCAAGTGTGGTGCCAAGTTGTGGTCCAGGCCGCTCAGCGAATCACCGGCCTGGCAAACGCGAGCTCATGTTCCCTGCACTCGTGACATCCCCTGGCTGCAGTTTTGTGCCGCCCTCATAAGTAGCGGTTGGCTTAGAGGGTTTCGGTTTCATTCAGTCCTGCGCCGCCCTCAGAAGTAGTGGTTGGCCTGACTGATGATGTCGAAGATTTTGCGAGCTCTTACAGGCCCTGACAGTTGGCCAGCGGGCTGGCCTGCTCATAGGGCAGGATACATAATCAGTTGGGCTCTGCAATGTCCGGTAAGCCACTCCGGCATCGCTGGCCCGCTCGTAGGGCAGGATGCATAAGCAGTCGGGCTCTGCAATGTCCGGTAAGCACGCATCAAATGTGCCCCGCGTAGCACCTTGCTTCGTGCCTTGTTCAGACGAAATACGACAGCCCATGCTTCCCATCCTGCCTATGGAACCTGGTGCATGGGCCGCCTTAGCGGCCTTAGAAGCCTCGTGACAGTGCTTGTATCGAGGAAGCCGTCGAAAGTCTGCTGATTGTCCTCCTTCACGCGCCGCTTGTGCGCACGGGCCCCCAAGAGAGCGATAAGTTCAAGGTCAGCGTCTCGGGCATCTTTGGACATCCGCTGAGACAGACGGGTTCCCTGCGCCCCCTAAACCCTAAATGTCACACTAAACCCTAAACCCTGAACCCTAATTGGGGCTTAGGGTCGATGGGGGCCTCATTCCGGCCCAAAGTGTCGCCTTGACATTAGGAGCCACATAGCCGATGCGGAGAGACTTGCCCTCAGCATTGGTCTAAGTCTGTCAGAGCAGACGTCAACGCTCCTCCCTGAAGCAGACGCGGC